ATACCCATATGACAGAGAAGGCTAGTCTTTCCACATCAGCCCGAAGAGAACAAATGTCTGCCGAATCAAGGTTTTATCAGTATCAGTCTAAAAAACTATCATATCATCTATCACCACAGTATACAACTTTATCTTCAGCACCATCGCATTTCTTTCTACAATTAAAAAAATCAGATGGAATTACCCTCTGTTAGAGGTTTTGGGAGCATGTCTATTCGTCGCTCCACAAGATAGACAGATGTGCCCCTTTGTTCAGCCTCATCATCAAGTGGAGAACCAGGATGCACAAAATTTGTCACATCAGCAATATCTGATAGAAAACCATTAAAGACAACCTTTTGGACCACCACGTATCAGGATTAAAGAGCAATAACTCAGGGAAGAGAATAGCACTAGTAAGCATCATTTAAAAGGATAAAACGACTTAAATGACAGATATTATTAATCATCAATTCATGGCTTCTACAGAGTGGAGGACAAATAGTATTCTGTTCTGATATGAATACATTAAGATACTTTACATTTTGCGACAGCAAATTGGCATTATAATTCACTACCAAATATGCGATGCAAAAGATTTAGCTTTTCAGTATTTGGAAAAGTTTTCCAAGAAAATCATAACAAAGCAGAGGCTAATTGAAATTGTCAGCCAGGCGTCCTATTATACCCCATTTAAAAATGAAAGAGTACATAGACGAAAAAATAAAATCAAAGAAATGCTTGGAATCCAATAATTTCAATTTGCACACATCAAGTCTTGATGTGAACTTTACGCATCAGTTGTACATTTTTCCTTTGGCCTGGTCAAGATCTTGACTTCACCCTTTTGACATGAGAGTCAATATGGCTTATCCAAAGCCAACTTGATGAAGCTATCAAAATAAATAAGGAATTTTATTTTTGCCTGGTAATGAATCAATTTCAATTCTTCTATTCTAATATATTGCCCATAGATAAAGGATACGAACTCCAACTTCGAAGTTCCCATTGGGAAGAGCAGAACAATGGAGTGCATCATCAATATCCTTGCATCCTGCATGCAATAAGCAGCATAATCATTTGAGCGTACTTACACCATGTGCTCTTTTACATTGAACTGAGTAATTTAGCTTTGGGTTATTCTCAAGTTGAATGAGAGTACTAAATTTGGAGATAAAAGAATTAAATAGTCTATTAGAAAATGCAAATAACAATATTATACTAACTAGTAAAAGCTAGCATAAAAATGGGTTGACTTATTTACATGCCATTCTCGTCATCAATGACGAGTTTGTCTGTACCAAAGCTTAAATCATGTCCCAAAAGAAAAGGATCCAGAACCATTTACTAGTTATTATGAGACCATTTATTTCTTCATGCAACTTATATCATTCAGGTTTCCGAAAAAAATTCAGGTTTTTGAAATCATTCCTTTCTTAAATATAGCTCTAATTTCCAGCATTTTCATCATAAAATTTATATCCTTTCCGTTTAATGGCTACCATATTGAGATATAATATTTTAAGTCTTAGAGTAAACTTTAAACATTTTTATTTTGAAAATATGATAATTAATTATGATACACTATTATTTTACCCTTTGTGGAGTAATAAAAGAATTAAAAGCACACCTGGAGGATCCACACTGAAGACACGCAGATCACGCAAATCCAGCCTAATTGGATTTGACAAATCTTCAGAAGAGACTGACCATGGTAAAGGCGGCAAGCATGCAAGAACTTGTGAAGAGAATGGCCTTGAATTTATATCATTTTCAATCAAAACTACCTAGAATGTACAACAATAAGGATCCCATATGATTAAAATGTGGGGAGGAACAAAGTAACAAACATGTAAATTACACGCACATGCATACACATGTCTTTGTGTTAGTGTGTGCAGAAATATGTTTGTAAAATGAATATGTTGCAGAGGAATCTACAATTCTCTTTTCCTTCCAGCTAATGAAGTCATCAGCAGAGAGTAAAACAGTGAAGTTAAGTGCATAGGGCTTAGCCTTCCTCGGGAGTGACTCAGTGATGAAGTCATCACGAGTCATAGGTTTAAAATCTTGCAAGGTCAAAAAGAGCAAGACAAAGAAATGAAAGAGGAGAAAGAAACTTTTACACCTATTGCTACAAAAACACTATGATACTTAATCATACAGTGACATACAATCATCTTTCCCAAGTCTCCATATAAAGAGATAGGAAATCAAAGGAAAAAAAATGTTAATACAATATAGCATACCTCACTTTCAGTATCTCGGTCACCAATCTGTCCTATAGTTCGCACATAATGGCCTGATGGATACCGAGATTGTCGATCCCAAGAATCAACTGCCACAATAATCCTCTTGTCTAAAAGGTTGTCAAGTTGGCGTGTTTGGATTCGAATTTTGGGTATCCTGCGATCTTTGGATACAAATAAAGCATGGGCAATGCCTCCACTCCCTGCAGGCATAGGCATTGGCTCCAACGATCCACAATAACTGTAATATACAATGCAATTATGTCAAGCAACGTCACACCTAGCTTTGACGCATGGAATAAGAAGACCAAGACTAATAAATTAACAAAATTCAACGTTTAAAGCAAACAAAATTCAACTCACGAATGCCAGTTGCGTTTTATAATGCCAACAACACGACCAGAAGGACGGCTGGATACAGGATTTATTTCTCCAGTAGAAGCTTGTTGAGGAATAGTTCTAGGGGCATCATCAGCACTGCTTGGAACTAGACGAACATCTTCCTCGTCCTCATCCTCTACATACACATAAGTTAACTAATGAAGATATGTAAAGAGGAAAGCATGTTCGCAGAAATGAATATGCACCTCAGTTAGCATACCATCACATGCAATAGACAAAGACTTCTCTTCTTGCCACTGTTCTTGAGGTAAAAGTTCGACGGCAACTATATCACCATCAAAAGCCCGGTTCATGTTTGTACGTCCATAAATTATTATTTCATCGCCAATGCTCTCACTTCCAACATAAGCCTCAAATGGATTATAACGATTTACACGAAGTTTTCCTTGATGATATATTCCACGATGCAATCCAGAAGTAATTTCTGACATTGGTTTATGCTAGAAAGAGAGCAGAAAAGATATTTTAAAACAAATTATCATCATAACAACCAAATTTGAAGGCTCAAATCAGTTAAAAGAAATGGAGTCAACTTCATACCTCCGTGTAGATGACTTTCCTTTTGGATGGTCGCAAATCCTCCAACTCTTCCATTTCTACATCTTCAGATGAAGGTCGCACAAGCAAGTCAAGTAAATCTGACCGGCCCAAAGATTTTACAAAGGATTCGACTGAAAGCAACACATAAATTGATTGATACTTCAATAAAAAAAAAAAATTCAAAATATTCAAAACTACTTTATTCTAGCTATTCTTACAGATGTGACTTGTCATTGATTCCCAAGCTATTTAAGATACAGCTGACTAACAGGAAAAGGTGAAAGTTCATTTACCTGTCTCTGCAAGAATTCCCTCTTCAGTAGCCTTCCTTTTGTTCTCTTTATCATTTGTTATAAGCAAAACCTTCACCGCACCACCAAGATGACTCTGGTACCATTGAGTAGCGACTCGGATAGCTGTATTACCACTTTGTACAGTTAAAATATCACAAATTAAAAAAAAAAAACACCAAGAGCAGTAGAAAGCATAATATTAAGAAAAAATTCATAAAATTATACAAAAACACAAACCTCTATCATTCCTGTCATTTTTTGTTTCGCCACTCATTTCCTTGATATATGTATCCCTACAACAGAGGGGCATAAAACTCTTAAAAGGTCCAAAATGCAATGATCAACCAGAGGAAAAAGTAGTTATCACGGTATTCGATTGTAAAAACCAACTTACCTATGGTACTCATTGGAAAAAACAAAGAATTTCCTCGTGGAATTGCTACAGATAGCTCTTATACGATTGTAAACAGCCATGTTCTTGTTCTTAACCTCTTCCAGCACAATGGACAATATAACAACATCATCAATGGCCGGATTCTCCAGCAAATCAATCTGTTCGCGTGGCAATTTCAAAACAGAAAAACAATGCTAAGTTCTCGAAAACACCACGTTACCGCATAAAACAATGAAGAAGCACAACTAAGCGAGCATGACCTGGTTGAGAACGACATTGGTGTCCAGAACGAGAACTGTAGAAGCAGATTCACTCAAGCGAGCAGCTGAAGTATCGCATGTTTTGCAAAATGGAGCTCCGCAGTATATATCATCTCTTAGGTAGTGCTCCCTGACTTGCTACTCACAAGTCACAAAAACAACTGATTAGAAGTACAGAACAAGGAGCTAGGGTTAGGATTTATGAGAAGAGGCACACCTTCAAAACTTTTCCAGCTTTAGTTTTCTTGACGAAAGACTTGTTATGGAGCATCTTCAATTTGCTTGAATCACACGATAGTTATCCAAATTAGAGCTAAGCAGGCAGCGAAAACACAAGCTTAAGCTTTGAAGACTTCGACGATGGCGAAAAGTGATCCCAACAAGTGCCCGCCGCTACTAATATGGTTCGAATTCTTTCCTCTTTACCTTGCGGGTTCTCCAGTCTCCACTGCGTACCGAACAGCGGCGTCTCGTTATGTCTTTTGCGGTTAATTACAAAAATTGCATTTTGCGCCTTTATTATTTTTGTTTACCACGTTTGGACGCCTTTTTTTTTTCCCACCATGTTTTACGCACCTTTATATTTATTTATTTTAATATATTTATTTTAACCAATAACTTTCATCAAAATTAGAGTTTTTGATTATTTCTCACGTAAAACCTAAATACAACAACTTTATGAAAAAGAGTGAGAATTGTATCAAAAAAAAAAGGAGAGAGCGAGAAATAAATTTTGAAAAATGGTCAAAACACATCTTTTGATATTAAGTTATAATTTTAAAATGTGTTTTTAAGTAATAAGTTGATCCCCAAAAAAAAAAAAACTAGAAACTGAATATTTTTAACATGATACTAACGTTGAAGGATTTCAGGGACAACTCTTGTAGTAAGCCGTGGCTGTGAGGCAGAAATCCAGGAAGTCCAAGATCATGACTTCAGGTGTCATTTGACTTTTTCTTAGCCGATAATCCAACGATGGATTATTCCTGCGAGACGGAGATACTAATTTTTCAGGGAATGAAGAAGCTTCGAATCTTCCATGCTGCCAGTCGCTGTTTCCTGCGATTTCCGTTTCTTCCTTTATACCATTTCGGGCATTTCTCTGTCTTTATCCTAAGTTAAGAACACAAGACTAGCTCTTCTTGTTCGGAATAATTATTTACTCATCTATTCCTTTGTTTCGGAGTTTATCGTTGAAGCCGCCAGATGAAATATCGCCTCTTTAGACTCACGCGCTTTATGCTTTGGCTAATTCCGCTGTTATGGAGCTTAACTTGCCATGTTTTGAGATTAGAGAGCTCCCAAGTCTCGCTTGTGGATCATACTGAGCGAGGCTTTGATGGCATACACCCACCCTTAAGCCGTCCAGGCCGATCTATTTTGTCCTTTTCACGGTGAGTTCTTGAGTATTTCTTACTTGCTATTATTTGTCTTTTTTACAAATTATTAGTAATGATAATTACTTTGGGTTCTCTTAATTGGTTTTTAAAAACCTGGTGCTGCTTGTGTGATCTTTGTTTTGATTATCAAGTTGTTGAGTAGATACAGTTATAAAAGAATCAAGGTCAGGATCAGATCAACCATAAGATTTTTTTTTTTTCCCTTTTGCTTAAGGGGAGGGATGAATTAATATTTATAGCATCATGCAAGAGTTGAATCTTGGAATATCTAAAAAGTCAACATGCAGCTTCGTTTTCCTCCCCACATGTTCCAGCTTAGGGCTTATTCGATGTTGAAGAGGATGGTCATGTAGGATGGATTGAAAAGAGTAGGAGTTATCAAATTCTCATTATTTTATTGAAAGTTTAATGAAAAAAAGGACGGCTACTCATTTACCTTTCAAAGATATATGTTTGGAATTCAAAAGAAAAGAAAAAGAAAAAGTTATGATGTTTAAATTTCCAACATCACGCTATGTTTAAACATCAAAGTGCCGTTGTATTAGGTTTCTCTTAAGGTAAAAAGCAATCTAACCATATTACTCTGCTTGGTTCTTACTTTTTATATTGTCATTGCACAGTAAGCCCAATACGACCCTTGTTGCTACCCTAGATGGGACAATATATTTGGTGGAGATTGGTTCTATGAGGGTAATATGGTCATTCCCTACTGGATCACCAATCTACCACTCATATCAAGCTCCTTTCAACAAGGATAATATTAAAGAGAATGTGTGTGGATTAGCTAGCGGGTTCATGGAATGTGGAGATGATTGGGCACTATATATCCAAAGCAAGCACTTTGGAAAAATGGTACGGGCGTAGATATCAATACATTGTTGCTAACTTAGCTTTTCATAGAAAATGCATCTTGGCTGTGGTTTTCAACAAGTATCCTGGATTTAACAATAATGTATATATTGAATCATTAACAAGTTAGTTTAGTTTCAGATTATGTGAATGTATTCTTAATAACACATGATATTTCTCTCTCTGCCCACTTCTACTTCCTTTAACCTTTTTCTTTGGTTGCCACAAAATTTTCATTGCATCATGTGAATTTGCTGTTACATCAGGCTTTATATCATAGTCATAAAAGGATGGAAGCATGCATTGTGTTGCTTTCTCATTCTGTGTATTTTGTTTAAAACTAGTGATCGTTAGTTGCCTATACTTTTTTAATGTTGCCCTTTGAAATATGCTAAATTAGCAGCAAAGCTTTGCCTGGAATACAAGTCCTTAATATTTGTGAGCATAAACCTGCCATGGCAAAGTTGCAAACTTAAAGGGAAAATTTAATTGAAAATGAGCAATTAAAATAATAAACATAACCTGCAAACCCATGAAACTCCCTGTGGTAGTGAGGAGGAACGTGGGACTTCCTATTGAGTTTTATTTGAGAGAGACTACAGCTTTTGATATTCTTAGTTTACATACTGCATGTTTTGTTCTACTTGTGTTCTAATTTAATATTTTTGATGTGAAAGTTGATGATCTGTAGCTTACTGGCTTTTTTCGGTCTACAGCTGATGTTATATATATAAAGCATGAATTTTCTGCACTAATGTGTTTGAAATTTATTTGGGTTTCAACTTCCGTCGTGCTCCCTCTAACTGGTTTATTGTGGATGTAGAGACTCTCAACATCTGTGGCAGATTTTGTTGCGGCTACACCTACCTTTTCGGATGATGGAGGTGTTATTCTTGGTTCCAGAAGAAGTACTTTATTTGAAATTGATGCTATAAGTGGAAAGCTCATTCGAAGCTATGCTGCTGATAATCTTTCTGCTCTGTGGAGGAGTGATATGCATAATGCAACAAATATTGTCAATACAAAGAATAAAGAGCTGGCTGGTCCTGCAATGCTAAGCACACCAGAGCTTCTGCTTAAAATAATTAGAACAGATTATTCTCTACAAGGTGTCGGTCCTAGATCTGGAAAATTTTTGTGGACTATGAATGTGGCTGAATTTAAGGCTTCATTATTCTGTGGACATGATGAAAATCTGTTTAGTGGGGCTTCTTTGGATTCAGAGGATAAATATGCCTCCAACAATGACTTGGATTTTGCTATGCCATATGCATGTCATGAGTTAAAAGAGGTACATCGCCTGCAAAAGAATCTTCTTTTTGGTGATCATCATGATGAGAAAATGCTTCCTGTGCCTACTTCAGATCTGATGCTTCTCCCACAATCAAATTTAGATATATCTTTAAATCAACGTGATGATGATACGATGCTTCTTACCTCTCCAAATGCGTTGCCTTCTTTGCCCTCAAATTTTAATCCCCATGACATTGATGATAATGCAGCCACTCTCTCTCAACCTCCCACAGAGATTAGCACACGAGGGGAAGTTGATAGAAACAAGATGACAGAATGGCCAAGAGCATCTTTATTATTGTTTGTGCTCTTACTTCTGGGTCTTTTGGTGCACCGTCTTCCGGTGGTCAAAAAGCTAGTTATGTTGATGGTTCAAAATGGTGGATCCGAAATAAAAGCTTCTCCTTCTAAGAAAAAAAGAGCACGTAAGTCAGGAAAAAATAATGTCATTGATGACAAAAGAAATAAGCATCTGTCATCAGAAGATGAGGACGTAATGGCAAGTAGCAAAGTTGCTAGAGAAGCATTGCCACGTGCTGAAAAAGTTGAAGGAGCCAATGGACGTCAAATTGGTAAACTCTTCGTATCAAATAAAGAAATTGCCAAGGGAAGTAATGGTACTATAGTCCTTGAGGGAATGTATGAAGGTCGGGCAGTTGCTATCAAGCGTTTGGTCCAGGCCCATTATGATATTGCTGTTAAAGAAATTCAAAATCTTATTGCATCTGATCATCATCCTAACATTGTCCGATGGCATGGGGTTGAATTTGATCAAGATTTTATATATCTTGCTCTGGAACGTTGTATGTGCAATTTAGATGATTTGATTCAGATGTATTCAGATTGCTCTTCAAAACCAGGGTCTAGTGAAAACCAATCTTCTGAATGTTTGAAGGTCCAAATAGAGATGGGAAAGGGTAACATGCAAGAGCTTTGGAAAGCAAATGGCTATCCATCCTCATTATTATTGAAGTTGATCAGGTTTGTGCATATATATATATATATATATATATTGGCTATTCAAAATATTTTTTAAGATATTCTATTCAGTGTATATGGATAGTTTGTTTATAGTATTCAATCATGTGAAGATTGATTTGCAGGAGCGTTGTTCCTATTGATTATATAACTCTTGCTTAAGGCAAGGAATGGTGATACATGATGGTGCTAGATTTGAGGTACAGGTAGGGTAGTTTCAAGAAAGAGGCGTGAGGGTTTGCCTTAAATAATTCAACCTTTTTCCAATTTGATAGTGAAGTTCAAATGGGATGGGTGAGTCATCAAGGATGACATAAATGGAGGTAATGGTACGGTAAAATGATTGGTGGATATGACTATGGTTAGGACAAAATGGCTAGCAATACACAGAAGGGTCTTATTTAGCTTTCGTTGAGGAATTTTGTAGTTGAACAAGATTGTTAAAGTTACAATTTGTATTTTTCTGTGACAGGTTATAAAATGATGTCTACTTTTCAAGTTTACTTTATTGTATGCCTTTTTATTAAGATCGTCTTTTTGAATCCCACGTTTTTAATTTTGATGACACAGGGATATAGTTTCTGGACTTGTTCACTTGCATGAATTGGGAATAATACATCGTGATTTGAAACCTCAGAATATTTTGATAACTAAGGAAAGACATTTAGGTGCAAAAGTGTCTGATATGGGTATCAGCAAACGCCTTCTTGGAGATATATCTTCCTTTAGTCATAATGGTACTGGTAAGTACTTCAAGAAAGATTTTATTTTTGCTTTAGCATTTGCTACTTCAATTGTCAATAACGGCACGGCTTGCATTGATGTAGGATTATTTGCAAAATCTTATGATTTCTGTTCACTGACCGTTTTCATCTAACCAAGGGCTTCCATGGCTAATAATCTAAAGGTCTTTACTAATTTTTTATTTTAAAAAATTACTAAATTGCAGGTTGTGGCAGTTCTGGTTGGCAAGCACAAGAACAGCTTCATCAAAGACGTCAAACGCGAGCAGTAGATTTATTTAGTCTAGGTTGTGTTCTCTTCTTTTGCATAACTAAGGGAAAACATCCATTTGGAGAGCGTCTTGAACGTGATTTCAATATTGTGAAAGATAAAAAGAACCTTGCTCCAGTGGAGTTCATTCCTGAGGCTGAAGATCTTATTTCTAGTTTATTAAACCGTAATCCAAAGTCAAGGTACATAAATTTCTTTTAAGAGAATTTCTTTTCAAGGAGAAGTATACTTTCCAAGCTCCTTAGATATCAATTCCTTAATTATTGTTTAGAATGAAATGATTGATTATTTTAAGAAAAGTTATTCATTTGAAAAGGAGTATGTGGCCAAGTTTGATAACCATGCAAAGCATTTAAGTCTTTCAGCCTCTTTGGCATTTTAGCTCTGGATAAATGGAAAAGGTGTTAACCAGTAAGACAAATCAAGTGAATTGTAATTATATTTTTTCTCTTTTTTATGTTTGGTTGAAGGTCACCGATTTCATTAAAGAAATCTATTTATATAATTTTCAGGCCAAAGGCTATTGAAGTGCTGCATCATCCTTTTTTCTGGAGTTCTGAGATGAGACTTTCATTTCTTCGTGATGCTAGTGATAGGGTGGAACTAGAAGACAGGAGTCCTAATTCTAATTTTTTAGTGGCATTAGAAAGTATTGCGCCACAGGCCTTAGACAATGCAAATTGGAATGAAAAGATGGAACCTGCCTTCATTGCTAACATCGGCCGATACAGGCGATATAAGTATGACAGTGTTCGTGACTTGTTGCGGGTTATGAGAAACAAGCTGAATCATTATAGAGAATTGCCTCGAGAAATTCAGGTTCTTGTTTAGAGTAGCTTGCACATTATTAATTCCATTCTGTTGTTGAGGTTGGGATTAATTACAAAAGTTGAAACTAATATTTTCTTTTATGTTTTGCCTTTTCAGCAACTTCTAGGACCTGTTCCAGAAGGGTTCAATGACTACTTCGCTAGTCGATTTCCTAAACTCTTAATTAAAGTGTATAAAATTGTACGTAAATATTGCAAGCAGGAGGAATGCTTCCAAAGGTATTTTAATAATGTTGATTAGTACAAGTGTTGTCTGTGAATTAAACTGTTATTATCTAGTCTAATGTAATGTACAAATGTTGCAATACGTATTTCATTTTCATTTAAGCATGTTCTGATTTGATGAGTTCAAAGAGCAGATGCTGGTTCCCGAAAAAAAAAAAAAAAATTTAATTTGGCATTCTTCTCCTTGTACAGGCTGGCATATTGCCCTTCTATTCTCTATCGGTTCTCCAAATTTAATTGCCAGTACTAATTGTTTTAAATAATATATGCATAGCTAACTGCATTGCATAGCTAATAATTTAAACTGTTATGCAGAGTTGAGAATTGAGATTCTTCGAAGTTGGAAAACAGCATAGCTAGTCTTATATCAAATCTAAACTTTTAGACATAATTTGACCATTTAGAATAGAAAATATTTTTCTGAACCGTTAAAATTTTATATATTTTAATTTTTTTATGCTTAATTACTACTTTAAGTTTATGGCTAAAAATTAATTTTATTTCATGTTTTTTAAATAAAAAGTATTAAAATTTCAAATTATATATATAATTTAAACAACTCAATAATTCAATTCGAATGGGTTGAATTTAGTTGAGTGCCACATTTCTATCACGCTTGTTTTCTTGAGCTCTAGAAGTATAAATGTTCTTTGTGCAAAAATAATTCTACTATCACAAGCCGCCATAATACAAGTTTGAAATTGATGGAATTCATTTCTAATAATTTAACCAAATTCATATGAGCATGCATGAACATCCTCCTTGCCAGCCCCGTCGCTCCAGAGTCCAGACAGTAAACGAGATCCCGCCTGATCCGCCATTAACAAAAAGGTGAGGTGGGGCGCCTCAAATATCATACAAAAGTTCGCCCACCAGCAATGTGGAAAGAATATTACTACTTTAATATGAAGTATTAAAATTTTAGTACAAGAAACAGCAACCCAAAAAAACATATAAATAATGCTTGCTTGAACTCTCCTGTCATCGGTGAAACCGTGCCGACTTCAAGAATGAACACCGACTCAAGCAATTTGAGTGGTGACTATCTCTGCCTCTTGTTTTGGTTGTAAATTCTTCCTTCTTATTTGTCTACCGACCTCACGGATTCATCAATCCTTCATGGAGGCAAGTCAAGGGCAGAAAATCTCCATAATGCAAACCTAATTCAGAGGAAAATTACTGCGTTCATCGACAAGATCAGTAGACATTGACGAAGGTATTCTGTGACGCTTCAAAATCCTGGAAGAAGCAGTTTTTGCCAATCCATAGTTCAAGGCAATGACCCTATCATCATCCAAATCAAATCGCACACTTTCTTCTCTACAATTTTCCACAAGCTGGCACAGATGTTTTAAATTTTCAACTTCGGTTCCATTAACCTTAAGAACCTGTAAAGCAGAAATAATAAATTCAAGGAACTACGTAACAACAATTCCGAGAGCAAAATATGGCTTCATCATCGGTGATGGCATGTACTCTATCCTGAGTAAGAAACTTGTGAATAAATTAAATAATGTGCATTGGAGTCTCTCGAACCAATAAAGCTTTGCAAATCACTTTGACCCTATCTTTCTTTTTTGGAGAATCACTTTCACCCAATCTTTTTATGACATTGTGATATGCTTCACTATTACCCAATCATCTCCTTCCTCTTGTCTTTTAACTGGTCTGAAGCTATTACTTGGGGTAACAGGATGAGCTCGTTGGGCCACCTTTTAAAAACTTATTGGTAAAAATTACAAAACAGCCTTTAAAGATAGGATTTTCTTGTTATTAAGAATTTCCAAAGGTAGAAAAAAGATTGTTTAGTCCACATATTATTTGATTACCACTTAAATGAAATTAAGGTATGATCATCATAAATATTCATCAAAGGATAAAAGTTACAAAACAAAATACATATTTGCACCTGTAATTCTGCAAGACGCTCATACCCAGCATTGATATCATCCATCAGGACCTGTTAAAAAAATTTTAAAAATAAAAAAGAAGGCAATTTTCAATATAATGACAGGATTCTCTACTGATGTCCGCTAAAAGCAACACAAGAGAATGGGATGCTATTGGTAATTGACGCTGAAATCGAATCACTTTCCTAGACAAAAGCGTACAACGCTACAAAAGTAAGACATAACTGAGATAGGCATAGCAAATATTGGCTATGTTAAACTGCACTAAAGATCAAAAGATGCTCACTTGAGATAGAATGACAAGTTGCTGATTGGCCTTCTTGGGCAATTCCCTCAACGCACGTTCACACAGTCGACGTGGTGAAGTATTATACCAATCTTCTCCAAATTCATGAAGGAATGGTTGAGTGAGTGGAATAAATACCAGACCGGCAAAAATATAATAACTTGGGAGCTTGTCAAACTGATGAACTGGAACCAACGGTTGTAGCTGAAAATAAGGACATCAAATATTCATTATTTCACAAAAACCATTCTCCAAATTAATATTTAAGACATGGATGAAGAATACACTAGATATTTATTTACAAAGTAAAGATCATATATACAGCCTACAGGAACTTACAGGACGAAGAATGACGCTAAATTCATGCTCTTCACCGTTCCGCAGAACTTTGACCACTGCTTTTTCATTAGGCTGCTTCATAGAGACCAAATGATCAAATGTAATTCGTTCTCTGTTTCGAAAAGGAACTGCAGCATACGTGCCGTATCATGAGTATAGACTTAAACTAGTTTTCAAAGACCAGATAAAGCAATCCAAGGTAACATTTGAAGGAAAGGAGGAAAATGTTCTCAAGTACAGATAGCTATCCATGCCACAAAGATTGTATGCATTCAAATTCAGAATAATAAGAAACAACTCACCCGTTCCATCATTTGCTATAGGCACGCCATCAAATGCAAGTATGACATCATCCTTCTTCAAAACCTTGTATGCATCTGAAAGTGGATTAATTTTGCTCACAAGCACCCCAGTCATGTCAGGTCGCATGTGAAAATGGTTTCTGAGTTGAACATTTTCAGTAGGCTGGCATGATAAGCCCAGGGAGCAAAATCCACTATACTTTCCATTTTCTTCTACACCAGATATAAAATGCTTTATTACTGGCACTGGTATAATGTAACTGCAACATACAGTATGAAAGAAAATCTAGCATGATATATTTATGCTTGATCAAAAACAATTAAACAAAGCAATCTCGTTCACTTGAACGGCTGGGTATTTTATCATGTAAGCTGAAGCACACATACTGATGGATGCGAACTACCAGTTTACCACAATGTCAATCTGAGAAATTCAGCAGACACTAATGCCCCAAGTTTGGATTTCTAAATAACTTCAAGAAACATATATATCATGTAACTACGCTCAAAGAAAAATATGAATTAAAAAAAAAAAATTAAAGATGTTATCTTTTCCGTTCTTTTTTACTCCAGTGAGATAAATCCAAACAGACATTATTGGAGACTATAACTGTTGATTTCATTAATTAGACAACTGTGATCTAACACCTATAGGTAGAGAACAAAAATTGCAATTTAATGGTGTTTAAGACTTTAGAATTTTATTATGAAGTTAAAAACTAGTAAATAATGGAAAAAGGGGATTGATGATTCTAAATCATAAAGGAAGAAAACACAACTTACCCTATATTCTCAGCGCCTGTCAGATTTTGGAAAGCCACTCCAGCAACCTTGTTGCCCATGATCGCTGGGCCACCACTATTGCCAGGATTTATGGCTGCATCAATCTGTATTGCCAACAGCTGTGATGCTCCATGTGCATATTGTGTGGGCTCAACTCTGGAAACAACCCCTTTAGTAACTGAAATGTTGTCACCACCTGCAAACCACAGTTGTGATAAATGTGAACAATTTGGTTAAAAAAACTCTATTTTAAACATTCAGATAATAGATTCCATAAGTCCATTATTCTAAGAGATCTTTATCGTCAAACGAGTGATGAATGTAATGGAAGATAGCAGAGGAAGTACGTAGGAGAACAACTAACAGCTTTTTTTTTTTTTGGTTCTGGTGAAAGGACAACTAATAATTTTAGTAATAAAAAAGTTTTTTTTTCTTCTCTTTGGGAGGGGGTGTTTGCTGTGCAAAAGAATGGTGGTCCAGAAGTGGTGAAAAATGAATTACTTGGTATCTCAGAAAGCATAGGCTTCGAACTAAAACCCAAGCCCAGGTTATCAAGCCCTTCAGCATCGGATGATGACTTGGAAAGATCTTTACGTTCCAATGTCGTATGGTGGAGAGGTATGAGTAGTTAGATATCTATTTATTAAAAAAAATTAAAAAAAAAAAGAAAAAAAAACAACAACAACAACAAAATAATGCATAAATTCAAATTTTCAAATTTGACATACAATCTTATCAATAATTGTCGAGAGACTTGGAAAATTATCAGTCCCAAAAAAAGGCTTAGAAGTTAAATTTTCCATCCACCAAACAGCAAGTTTCACCCATCAATATATAAACCAAAGTCATGGAGTACTAAGAGCTATTAGTACAAGATAAACACTTTAAACTAATACGAGCAATGGCTTTAGAACAAAACCAAGCATTGAATCCGCCATGAAAAATGAAAACATCTTGGACAATATTTATCCATATCATTGTCGTGCATGCTAAAACCAATTCTGACTGGTTTTCAACTGGCTCTGGCCGGCTTCCCCAGTTCATGAGTTGGCCGGTTTTCAAGTGTTCCAGGGTGGATATATAGCTGTTCCCAGTCAGAACAGCCGAACCAGCCAGTTCAGTTCTGATAGCACTGAATAGAAGACAAAAATAATATTAAAATATGTTTGATGAAGAATACCTTGAGGATAACCCACGACAGCAACAGCTTCCTGTAAAAAAGGGATATCTCCAAGCTCCAAGGGATTCATGCCATCCCAAAATTCCTCACTTTCAATAATCAACATAGCCAAGTCACATTCATGACCAACAAATTTGACTTCTGCTCTATACTTTGTGGACGAGCCATGTTTTCTTACAAGCACAAATGAATGATCCGCCACCACATGAGCATTTGTAAGAATCTTTTTGCCAGGAATCACAAACCCTATATGACAATGATATAAATCTTTAAGAGAGGAGCGTTATGTGAAAAAGTATGTTTGAAAATATAGAAAAATCAAAGCAAATTAATTCAATAGTTAGCGGGATGCAAGATAATTATCAGCATCTGCAGATCATACAAGTACAATATCTTAAAAGTTTTCGGTAAGTTGGTGCTTGGTACAATCTAGTGATCTACACATATGCGCGCACCGACCAAACCACCACTAAACTTCAGAAGAGGCAGAATTACAAGGGGCTGTTTAATGAAAACGAACCTAACTAAAGGAAGTATAAACACCCACAGAAGCAGCAAAGGTTTTATCCAAGTATTGATCATTCATGATGCATTGCAAACACAAACACACAATATTAGCCAAATCGATCATACTTATCTCTCAATTACACTAATAGGGATACATCAAAGCTTCCTCACAGAATTACCACCATTACAAATCATAAACTATCAAGTATCAAATTCCGGGGGTAACAATTTGAAGCATAAACGGAAGTAAACTGCCAAGCAGAAATTGACCATGATGTTAGAATTACAGATAATAGGCCGGCCAAGAACAGTGAGTAAAGTGAGTTAAAAGAGGGGGAGAAAAAAACTGACCGGAACCCATTGTTTCGCGCTGGGACTTGTTTTGCCAGGGGAGGAGGTAGTTGGGGCTGCAGGAAACAGTGAATACTTTGACAACAGAATCCAGTGCAAGCTCGATCGCAAAATTAGCACCAGCCCTTGGGTTAAATTTACGATTTAAAGGCTGAACCCGCCTCAAAGAACTCCTCCGATACCTATTTGCGTTGAAAGTTTTAGCAGCGGACGCAGAAGTCGACAATGTGCGAGCGCCATTTCTGGCTAAGTGGTTATTTTGCCGAGTGGATCTTCGACGAATACAAGAGGGGAGAGCGTTTGATGTCTTTGCCGCTGGTGGAGTCACATGGCAATCTCTCAGCAGACGGAGAGACAAGGAAGAGAACGATGCAAGGTTGCGAACTGTACGCACGTATGTTGCCATGGTTGGCAGGTAGAAGTGAAAGTGGATCTTGCAAAACGTCTCTCTGCTTGCCGCTTCCCTCCCCCAACGGCGCCAATACGCGACAGTGCAATGCAGGGCTTCGAATGTGTCACGATCATCAACATGCCAACATATTTTAACATATCAAATTTCTTCAGCTTATTTTCAAAAATTGGCGCAAGAGTTTTTTTGGAGCGAAGCCACCCAGACTTACTCTCCGTGAGTCCAATGTCACAAGCCCTGACCAGGATCAAAACCTAGACTTCGCGCTAAATGGAAGAAGCCCAATAAAAATTTAATTTAATTAAGCTTCAAAGACAATTGGACCTGTTCACCAACTCATTCTTATTGTTCGATTGGGCTAAGCTACTAAATTATTTTAACATTTTAAGAATTAATGTAACTTATTATTCTTACTATCATTTATTTATAATTTCACAATCACAATTGGGCTTTAAACTTCAAACTGGGCTTGGGGGGGTGAGCCAGGCCCGTGCAGTAGTGCAACACATGGGCGACTCGCGAGGATCCCAGCAGCAAGCTACTGTAGTGGACCCTCCCCTAAAAAAATTAATTTAATATCATGTGGGCCGATGGCCCACGTATCAGATATTAAACTGATAAGAACAGATACTACACTTGATCTTAGCCAAAAGGCCGAGAAAGGTATGCTTTGGCACGGTACACTGTGCAGCTTTTATAATTGATCTCCACGCTTGAGCTCGTTTTCCCGCTCGGTGTGGGACTCTTCACCTGTTCACCGTTCCAGCCATGCATTAAACAGACTTCTTTTGCATATGTTTTGTTAGAGCTTCCTCCTAGTAAACTCCCATTATAATTATAATTACAAATATAGCAAAGCATAAATAATTGTTTCTGGCGAGTCCGCTCGTAGCTTTCAGAAATGAGGAAATAGATTGGACAGCTTAACACGAGAAGAAATCTAGAAAAAAGTTGCACAGTTTGTGTTAATTTTGGTTGCATACATCATTTGCAGCCTAGTTAGGTCGAAAAATCAAACTCTTTTCCCAGAAGTAATAATGTGAGATAATTGACATGTGATGCATATATAATAATGTGTAATAATCAAGCATGAGATATAGGGAGGGGTAACAGGGAATTGTACAAGAGGTTGCTTGAAAACCAGGTTCAAAAAAAAAAAGGGGGAGGGGGAGGTAAGCTGCATGAAGCTATATATACGAGTATTATTGTTAAGCTGGCGTAAAGAGAGTCGTGTGACCTTATGATTGGTACCAAACATAACATAAGCCAAAGAAAGAACCTGCAGGAAGGCCGGGTGTTGTTTTTTTTTTTGATATCAAAAGGCCGGGTGTTGTTGATCTGTCCATCTGGTAAGAAAATAATGAAAGGTTTCATCAACAGGTTACTTGCTCGGATGTTCAATTTACATTTTGACATATCTAGGGTTGCTTTTTTTTTTGCCATTTTTTTGTGCCTTGTTCCTTTTTTTTTTTTTTAAATCAAGTCTAATAACATGAGGCTGAGACCCATAGGACGTAGCTTCTCAATCTCCCAAAGTTTAAATATAAATAAAGAAATAAGATTAGACATATCTCGTAAAATAAATTACAACTTAAAAAAAAGATTTAAATTTCAAATAACTGATTAAAATATTTAAAATTTTGATTGATAACTTTAAAAACAAGAACAAAAACAAAAACAAAGTGGATTGCTTTATGCAAAGGGCGGGGACGCCCCTTTGCATCCGTCATTTCTCGTGAATGGTGGGTGCCGTCCAGTGCCCATATCACGTATGTCAAACGGTAGAAGAAAAGAAAAATAAATAAAATAATCATGTAGTAACTCACGGTTTTTCTTTATTTTCACTGAAATTGTATAGATATTTAGCATACTTTTGAAACGTAGACATATTTTTTAAGATAAAAAATAAATCATACACTTTGCATAAATATACCTATCCAGTTTGTTTGAAAATGAAGAATAAGAATAATCTCCTTAGAAAAAATACTTAGAATTTTCTTCTATTTTTCAGAGGAGACATGTATGTCTTTTCAAAATAGAAAAGGGGGTTATGTGATTGAAAGAAAGGTCGAGAGAAATTCGTATAATTCAACTTAATATTTATTTTTGGGCATAATTGTGGTATTATTCAAAGATAACAAGTTATTGCAGGTTGACTTTTGGGGGGCATCTTTAACAAAATAAGACCCATACTTGACATTTTGTTGGTGTGTGTGGTCGAGGTTCGTAGTGATAAATTTCTTTTGGTTCATCCAACCCCATGATTTCTCATGGTAGTAAGTGGTCAACCTCTAATTCGTATTTTGATTCAAGAAAGTTCTTTGTTTTCTTTTCAAAATGTCAAATTAATAGGTTTCAAATTCCTGATTCATCGCCTCAGCAGGGAAACATCATATTTGATTTAACTTTTTATATGAAAATCAATTCAGTATATTCATTAATCACGTATAATAAAACTTAAAACAAATTATATACTACCTCCGGTCCTTAATATAAAACTTTATTTGACTTTTATTTTGGTCCTAAATATAAGACCCCGATTCACTTTGTCTCTGATATTTGAGCATTTTTTTCCCAGATAGTCTTTCTAATAATGGTAGTTCTAACCAACACACTTAATCAACAAGGATATTTTAGAAAAGACAACACCTATTTATTACAAATAACTAACTTAACTTATTTCCTTAATCTCCTTAAATTAGTCAACTAGCTCTTATAATTAAAACCGGAGGTAGTATTATTTTTTGAATGGCAGGGATCATTCGCTGAATTCTACATACTAACATATAAACAGAGTTTTTAATTGATGGCTTCAAATATCTAAAAGGAAATACTATTTAGTCTTGCCCTTTTCGACATTCAAATTATTTGATTTCACTTTCATAAATTCACTTATTTTGCACAAGATTAAAGTATACATTTAATTTTTTTAACTTTATACAGGGTCTCAATTTTGATAAAGCATTCTTAAATGCTAACATACTAAATTTAATTTTTAAAATAGTTATGATTGTTAAAAAAATTATTATTTAAGCCTAATAATTTTAGGATTAAAAACTAAATACATAGTACTTTTCAAAATTAAGGAACGAAATTAAAATTTTGAATAAAGTCAAGAAAATAAATGTATATTTTACCCCCTGTGCTGTATGATGGAAATGGAGGAGAAGAAAAGAAAAATTTTAATGAGCTTAATATGAGAAATTAGAGAAGTGGGGTTTTAAAATCTTAATAAAGAGAATATGAAAGATAATAAAGCTAATAAAAATCAATTGAAAACTTTTAACCTACTTTTTTAATTTTTTAAATTGAGGTCATTAATTTTTTTTCCCTCCCATCCTCTTCTCTTCACTTATACCAAACGAACCCTTACCCCCTATATTTAGTACGAGGGAAATGAAAGGAAAGAAAGAAGAGAAAAAATTTTAACGAGGTCAATTCAAAAAAATTTAAAAAAAGATTAAAATTTTAATAAAGAGAAAATGTAAGATAAAAAAATAATAAAATTTAATTAAAAACTTTTAACTCAATCCTTTTAATGTTTTAAATTGAGTTTACTAAAATTTTCACATACTCTCTCTCTTCTTCTTTTTTATTTCTCTCGTACCAAACCGCTGGGCTTTCTAGAATTTTACAAGCATGTTTTCTTTTTCTCTTTCTTTTCTTTTTTTTTTTGGTTGCCATTTTACAAGCATGTTTTCTATCCTCTATGCGTGTGTGCATAAAAACATGTTCTGTGGAATTGGAAACCATGTTGGTAAACAAAGGCAAGGAAAGAGGAGAGAAACTTCTCCGAAAAATACAGGTTCGTGGAAATTGGAAAATTGGCAAACGCGTAGAATCCAGGAATGAAGGCTGACATCCCAGCAACATCCAATTCACATGGTTTAGATTTTTAATTTAAAATATCCAAACTTTATGCTTTTCATTTTCCATAACTTAAATTATTATTTTTATTTCAGAATTGTTAGAATATTTTTCAGGTCAAATAAAGTTATACTCCGGTCATGTTAGATTTGAGGTTAATCCTTTTCGGACCTGGAGCAGTTAAGGAATAACCTTCCCAATAAATACATACATTATCAGAATTTAAACTTATATTCTCCTCTTGCTTGATCCCCTACCTTAAGCAAGAGATATTTGGCAACTGTATTTTTAAACAAAAATTATTATTGATCTAGTCTTTTGGGACCTTATATCATCATCATTGTCCGTAAATTTACGCATTTTCATATTCTTTCATCTCGATTTTAGCTTAGACTTAAGCCTAACTGAACAATGAACACCTAGCTTAGCCAATTTTTTCATTTGAATAAAAATAATTATATTATTAAGTAAAAATAAAATATAAAATGTTTAAAAACAAGAAGGGAGTTCTTCAGAGAAAACTCCCCAAAAAAACAAGAAAATAACTTGAGAATCTAAAAAAGAAAACGGTGGAAAAAAACCTCTCTGGAGTCATTTGGCAATGCACTGGAGAATTTTACCAGGTGGATAAACTTGGAATCAACACACAAAACTAATTTCGCCACAAATAATAATGACAGCACTCGATGAGAGAAAGATACCACCCAGCAGCAAATAAAATACTACCTCCGGTCCTTAATATAAGATCCCGTTTGACTTTTTATTTGATCCTAATTATAAGACCCCAATCCATTTTTTCTTTTATATTTATGCATCTTTTTCCAATATAGTCTTTCTAATAATGATAGTTCTAGCCAATATACTTAATTAGCAAGGATATTTTAGGAATGACAACACTTATTTATTACAAATAACTAACTTAACTTACTTCCTTAATCTCCTCAAATAAGTTAACTGGGTCTTATAATTAGGACCGGAGGTAGTATATATACATGCATGTGTGTGTGTGTGTAAAGAAATGTTTAATTTATTTGTTAATAAGTACTACCTCCTGTCCTAATTATAAGACCCAGTTGACTTATTTGAGGAGATTAAGGAAATAAGTTAAGTTAGTTATTTGTAATAAATAAGTGTTGTCATTCCTAAAATATCCTTGCTAATTAAGTGTATTGGTTAGAACTGTCATTATTAGAAGGATTATTTTGGAAAAAAATGCATAAATATGAGA